GGTGCTGGGGGATTGAACCGCGGTCCCTGATGCCTTGCCAAGCTTGTTCTAAGTAGGTGCTTTAGACCACTGAGCCATCTCTCCAGCCCCTCTGCTCTCTCTTTTTATTTATTTTTTTGGTACCGGGAGCCCAGCTCGAGACCTCGTGCTTGCCAGGTGCTGAGCTGTACCCACGCGCACCTGCTCTGCACCACCCTTGCCGTGGCAGTTACCTGCACAGTGTTGCAGTGACTGAGCAGGACTATGTTGTATTTACTCTGCCTGCCCCTTGCTTCATGTAACGTTTGTAAGACACAACCGCGTGGGTGCTGGCAGCCCTGTTTCATATGCTGCCGCTGATGTGTAGCGTTCTTTTATATGAGCAGATTGCAGTGTATATCTCTATGTACTGTTGAGGAGCAACTGAGCTAGGTCTAGAGGAACCACCATGCTTTGAAAGCATCCTGCCTGTGCCCAGTACTCAGGTGTGTCCTGAGAGTCTCGTAAAGTCCTGGGAGGAGGCCTGGGCCTTAGGCTGTGCATGCGCCATCCTTCCTATGGTTAGGGATGAGGTCCTGTCGCCTCGCCTGTGACGCATAGTGTGGGCTCCTCAGGGCGCTCTGCCCTGGACACATGTGGTTCACTGTCCCATAGCCCAGGGTCTCTAGGTCGGTGCTGGGGTGAGAACTCAGTTCCAAGGGGACAGATCACCTGGTGCATGTTCACAGTGGTGCTGGTGCTCAGGTTGGCGTTTCGAACCTGCTGCCTCCATCTTTGGAGTGATGGGGAGGCACTGGCAGTGCTCCAGGGAAGCACAATGGGATAGGACCCTTGTTTCAAAGGGTAGATTGCTGCTTGTGTGGCTCGGGTAGAGGGCTCTTGGCGGTGACCTCTTTCTCAGTGTCCCACCCAGTTTTGTACATGGGTGGTGCTCGGTGAGTGTATTCAGCTTCCTAACTATTTGCTGCTTTCTTTTTTGTTGCTTTCAGTATCCAGCCCGTGTATGGAGCACAACACCCTCCTTTGGATCCTCGACTCAGCAAAAAGTAAGTCAGGAAATTTTTATTTTCATCCATCAGTTTTGTTTTCCTTTCTAGAATTACCTCTGTACTGTCTCCTCTGTCCTAGTTTGGATCTTACCTTCATATGGTCCAGTACTAACCCGGAAAGTTTTTTTTTTTTTTTTGGTGTTACTGAGGCTCCAACCTAGGGCTATATCTTCTGCCCTTTTAAAGACTTTCTCATCTTAAGGCAGGGTCTGTTGGTTGCCCAAGCCGGGCCTGAGCTTGGAACTCTCCTGCCTCAGCCTCCTGAGTGGTTATGTTACAGTCATTCACCACTGGAGCTGGCTGCAAAAGGTCTTCTTAGGAGGGGCTGGAGAGATGGCTCAGTGGTCTAAAGCACCTACTTGAAACAAGCTTGGCAAAGCACAGGGACCGCGGTTCGATCCCCAGCACCACA